CCTAGACACAGGATTGTGAATTTTATTTGCCTAGAGCGTGTCATGCTGCATGAACGCTTAGACACTGTGAATAGTAGTTTTGTGGGACCAGGGCTGTTCTGGTTTGACCAGGACCTCGGGGAAGCTCGGAGAAGGGCTCTGTGTAGACTGGTTCTGCATAGTTACTGGCTTCCTTTCAGGGAGTCTGAGATGGTGAGACTGGGAAGGAACCCAAAGCCATTTATAAGCAGTCCCAACACATGGCCAGGTGAAGTGGTTTGATTCCTTTTTCTTTCTTTCTTTTTTTTTTTTTTTTACCATGTCATTAACTTTTACTTTTTGAAAACAAATGACTTCGATGAAGCTGAAATGCCAGCCCCATGCATGTATCCAGTGCTTCCAACGAATATCGGGTCCCAATATCATGTCATAGCTGTGAGTGGGAGGACCCTTCTGTAATCTCCACTGAGGCATCTGCCCTGAAAACTCGCTCTCCGATGTAGAGACAGTTGATCTTTCTTTCATGCATTGATAGGGAGAGATACTGTAGCCTGTGTACACAGCTCCATGAGGTCCTCCTCAGCTTATTCAGTTAATTCCTCTCTTCCTCTAACTTTGAACGGGACAGTGGAAGACATGGGGGTGGGGGAGGTGGAGGAGGGTCAAGGAGGAAAAATGGTGATGGAAGGAGACTTGGCTTGGGGTGGTGAACACACACTACCATGTACAGATGATATGTTGAAAAACACACACACAAACTAAACCAAACCAAAAAAAAAAAAACAAAACACAGATGTCTGTGACTCCCCAATAGCCTGATCACTCTTTAAATCCACGTGTCACTGTGAAGTGTGGCCCTAGTGAAGGCTATGCCAGATCCAGAAGCAGAGGTGGGAACCTCCAGGAGGCAGGAGAATGGATTCTGGATGGGGAGGGCAACCTCCTTGAGAGCTGGTGCTGCATCCCAGCTCTGCCATCAAACTTGTTCGCCTGTCTTTTTCTTTTTTCTTTTTTTTTTTTTATCAGATTAAATATACCTCTCGGAACGTTTACTTTTAAGGGCATATGGTATTGTGACACAAAACAGTCCATTCCTACAAATGCCGTCTGAACACTTGGTAGGCACCAGACATGATGATTGAATTAGTAGAAAATTTATTATCTTACAGAATTTTTTAAATGCTCACCTTGGTCCCATTTTATTCTGATCATTTAAAAATGGAGGTCTTTCTTGTTTGGGATTAGGGAATTTTTCTAAACCTCTGAAACCTCCCTTATTCTGTTACTATCCCTTCCTGGTTTAGGGTGATACCCTCTCAAATGCTATTCAGGGAGTGTGGCCTCCGTGTTGTGAAGCAGGACCGCATACACTGCCCTGAGCATTGCATTCCTTTGGCAATTCACAGCTTCATCCATGTGTTGTTGGGTTGTTGTTTTTTTAACCTAAAATGCTCATGCTTCTTTATTTGAGGTTAATTATGCCAGATTAAGTTTTTTTTCTTTCTCTACTGGATTCTCAGATTTGCCCCAACTTTTAGGGGAAAAAAAATTGACTAGCCCCCTTTCTGCTGGTGTCCCCTGAGCCCTGTGCTTGAATACAATGAGGTCACTTTGTTGAAGGATTAACTTTATATTACATTCTTGCAGGGTAGATGTATGTCCCTAAGGTACAACTACCCCCACGGATGAAATAAATATACCATTCTTTATGATTCCTCCCCGTTACATTCTCTGTTGATTTTCAGAGAGTTTATGAATAGTCACATATTTATACAACTGGCCAAAAGTATACTACTTATTTTTCTTATGGTCTGTAATAACCTATGCAAGGTTATTAAAGGGTCTACAGACCCCTTTTAAGGCATAGTTTCTTATGTCATTACTTTATACAAGCAGGTCAAATTCCATCTCGGCAATAATCTCTTGCTCTTAACCTTTTTCTTTGATTATAAAAGTAATATATGTTCATTGTGGAAAATGTAGAGAATGCACAGCAGAAAGAGAAGAGAAGCATTTTAAGACCCTCTTTTGGGCGGTTTATACACAGACCACAGACGCATTTTCTTCATTCTCTGTGTGTTTGTTTTTTAAAAAAAGGAACCTTTTAGACATATGCTCCTATAAGCTGCCTTTTAGCCTAGCCATATATTATGCCAGTAAATATTTCCCCCACTTATGGCATTGCTTTTGAGAACTGCATCATATTCCAGAGACATTGAATCTGTTTTTCTGGTGTTTTCTTTGTGTGTGTGTGTGTTTGTTTTGTTTTAAAAATCTTTATCAGATGTTTGCTCTCACTCAGTAATTGGTTTAAATTTTTTCTCTAGTCAGTGCAATCAGAGAAATCATCAGACACCTTTGCATTTAAGACAAGCTTTGTCTTGCATATCTGTAGTGTTATCTTTGTGCTCAGCACCGGGACAATTGCACTGTAATGTTGAATTCCTAAATTGAGGGCGGATTAACATATTTAAAGATATGAGCACAGAGCAAGTCATAAAGGCATGAGAAATAAAAGCCTTTGTCTTACCGGCTGAAACATCTCCTCCAACATAGTATACTTCCATAGAATAGATGCTTACTTTTCTTTGAATAATGAGTTTAATATATCTAATTCAATTACTCTTTGTGTCAGCCGAATGACTTCTCCTCAGCTCTTTAGCTATTCGTTCTATCTGATATTTGAATCGGTTCTTTTAATTGCAGATATTAAGTGTCCGTCTTTCTGCTGTGTGTTGGCCATATGGCCAGAGAAACACAGCCGGACTCCCCTCCCACACGTCAGGCAGTCATTCAATTAGCAACCACAGTTCCTTGACACAGTAGGAATTAATTCATTTTTCAGACAACTGAAGGGGTGGGTCAACACTTCTAATTTTATTGTTGGTTTGGTCTGAAAAATAAAACCAAAAATTGGAATGTTCAGGATGCTAAATTATGTCTTCAGATATTAAAATGATGCATTTAATTGTCTAAAGCTCTTTTTATGGTCAAACTTCTTTGCTGGTAATTAGCATGATGGGTGGGGGAGGGATGTGATATATAACTTAAACCTAGGTGCTCATTCCTGTCACCCTCATGCATTTCTTGATTAAATCCCATGTATTTTATGAGTAACAGCTTCCCTGCATAAAGAGTCCTATGGCTTTTTCTCTACAAGTCTAATTTGAAAAAAAAAGAAGAAGAAGAAGAAATTCTTCTCAAGGGTTTAGAAAGTAATCATAAAAAATGAGAGGAATAATAAATATTGTGCCTTAACTCATATGCTAGCATAGAGAGAGAGACGTGGTACACCTGGGTGTAATTTCAGTTAATTTCCACAAGAGACAGGTTGAAAGTTTACTGTTTGGAAGGGGAGGGAGGCATAGCTAAATCTCATATTTGCAAAAATGATTACATTATCTGAAATGAAAATGCTACTCTATTAACAAACTTCAATAAGCATTGCATTTGGGGAAAAAAATCTTTTAAATAAAAAGTTACCTGAGTTCACTTTAACTTAAAATATACAAGTGAGGAAAAAGTACTTACTCTGATTTATGTGTCTTTTGGAGGTGTAATTATTGGCTTTTTACTCACCTATGGAAAACAATGTACTTTTGTAAATGGATTTCTGGCCACTTTATGCAGCCTTTTTTTTTCCCCGTATTTTTTTTTTTTTTTGTTACATAAAAAGTAAGCACTGTCAATCAAGGAATTTTAAGGTTTATTTCCTCTTTAGAAATGATTGATAGCCTTTTAGATTTACCAGTTGACAAGTTAAAGGGTTCTATTGGTATAATTATGTACTAAATTCACAGTCTTTCAATTTAAATGTCCTTTTAAAACCACAAGATTATCATACCTGTATTTTGAAAAGTGGGCCAGTCAGTTTGGGTTGGTATACAAATTGCTTCCATTAGCCTTGGGACCTATTTGAATTTAATACAGTTTTTTAAAGTTAGTAGTAGTATGAATCTTACTTTTAAAATTTAGGTTAATGGAAATTCATTTTAAGTAAAGCATGTGGCAACTTGTTTTTTAATGTATAGCTAAACCGCAGAAGTGCAAAGACTGTCTTTTTATTTGGTATGGGAGAAACTATGTGGTTGAATATTTGGGTTACACAAAAAAGGAGAAGAAGGAAAGGACCTCCCCACCCGCCCCTTACTTGGAAGATCTGAGGGCTACGGATAGAGAGAGGATGGAGCTGCCATCTCTCCCTTGTCCCAAGAAGAAGGCTGAAGATATTTCACATCCTGGGGAGGAAATTTCAGAGTTCACTTTGTATTGTGTTTAGTTTCAGGGTGCTTTGAAGAGGGTGTAGTCAATATGAGCACAGCAAGGCCCATTGTCTCCAGATATTGTTACAGTTTTGCTCTTCAGTCTATTAAACCATCATGGAGATCTGGCTGCTCTAAGCCAGTGCTCGCCGAGGCTGGCTTTTTCCTAAGATAATATTGATGTTGGTGAATAGTCTGGCATTGTAGATGGGAGGGTGTAGTATCAAGGTCATTGCAATGCCTTGCTCTTTGCCCCTCCCTGCACTCTTGCAGGCTTCATTGCCACAGAAGGCACTGAGACGCTGTGTCAGCTGAGGTCCACTAGAGATTTTGCAATGAAGCAAGTACTTTGAACTCTCCTGCTTTTTAGCATCTGTAGAGATCCTCAGACAGGCCCTTGAGCATTTTGACCTCAGCTTCTGACTAAAGTGAACCCTAAAACTTCACATTCAATACCATTTGACTTTCTATTTTCAATAATGTAAAGAATATGAAATTTGGCCGGAAGAACAGAGTTCTTCCCTATGCTACGAAGGGGTCTTTTGAGGGAGTCCCTCCCTACCATGGTCAATAGCAGAAGTAGATGGTGGTAATGTTCAGTAGAGGAAACATTCATCTAGTCGTTTCATAATCTAATTCAAAGGTTATCAATGAAGCTTTGGACTTCCTGGTTATTTCTGGTTATTTTCACATCATCAGTGTTGCAAATCATGTTCTTGTTCCTGAAATGGTTCTAATTGTGTGACTTCTTCGTTGTAGCGCTCAACGAACCCACCATCGATTATGGTTTCCAGAGGTTACAGAAGGTCATTCCCCGGCACCCTGGAGATCCTGAGCGTTTGCCAAAGGTCAGTACTCTCATTCTTTGAGTTACGGTCTCTGGAAACTTGGACTTGGGTGATTGGCAGGAAACTTTGCCATTGATAAAAATCAGTTCGTAGATAAGCAACTCAGTATTTTTTTGGCTTTGTGTGTTCAGTGCTATAGGTAAATAAGCACTTATGTGCCAGGTAATACAGTACTTCTTTTTACATATGCTATGTTATTTCTTCCTCTCAAAATCCTCTGAGATTGGTCCTGCTACCACCTCCATTTTTGGGAAGAAAATGATCAAGCTAAGAGAGGTTAAATAATTTGCCCAAGGTCACAAACTATGTAAATTGCTAAACTGAGATTCAAATCAATACTATCTGGGTCCAAAGTTCAACTTGTTGTTAATCACTTCATCACTCCAGCTCTCAAGAGGAAAAAGAACACTGCTTTCCTACCTTTATGGAAATTCATACTCATCCCTGTCGAGGGGAGAACAAAGGAAAACATATTGGTAGATCTTGCAATTAGACAAATAAGATAGGACCTCTTTCCGCTAGAGGCATTCCATCTAACTGGGAGATAAGGTGAGAAATTAAACAAGAATTCAAGGCAGAGTAACACATGGCATACAGCAATACGTCATTAATCCCCAATGATGAAAAAAGAAAATTCACATTTACTGACTCCTGTTCTGAACCTGTTGTCTGTGTTGGGAATATCCCCATCTCTGTACCCAAGGAACTCGGAACCTGTGTGGGAGAGATCACTCTACCCAACACCATACGTGACAGGAAGAACAGGTGCGTTTAACAAAAGTGCAGACAAAGTTCTCTGAGGACTCAGAGGAGAGAACAGTTAAATGCTAAGGAAGTGTGAAGGACAGAATGAATTGAGCTACCATTCACTGTTTACTGACAGCAAAATGGAATTTCATTCACGGCACCAGTGAAAACTATTATAAATTAAATGAGCAGATGAGAGGTCTTCTCTTTGCTATAGTACGTCTACAGATAGGTCTGTTTCTCCTCATAAAGCACTTAGAAAAATGAAGTTGGCATCCTTCCTAGCTCAGTTAGCCTCTTTGGGAGAGCCGTTCATCATCAAATTCTACCTGCACACCTGCTGCCTGGGGAGGCAGAGCCACCTGTCTGAACAGGCCTGGTCCAGGAGAAAGTGGCCCAGGAACGAATGTGCAACTCGAGGGGCCGGGAGGGTGGAGAAGGGGGCGCTGCTTCCCAGAGAGAGGAAGAACTGGGACAGGCAAATGCGCCTGTCCTCCACCTAGACCGCAGAGAAAGAACCACACAACCTCAGCCTCAACCCTTGGCTTCCTAGAGCAGCCTTCTTCCACCGAGTGCTATTGGTAAAAGCTTCTTGAAAGCATTTCACCTGAGGAAGACGTCCTAGGATGTGTCAGTCTGTCCATATCCTTGTCTTTGAAGGGGACCGCCCTCTTACACACATCATTCCCTTTCACCTTGACTCTTTTTTGGTGAGCAGTTAAATAATCGAATGATAACAGTGAATGACAGTCCACTTCCGTAGCATAGATGTGCAGTGGAAAGATTTACCTTCAGGTTCCTCTGTCTAGCAAGAACCTAACTCCCGTGCATTTCCTGAGGGGCAATAATTGGAAATTTTATTGGTAATTTTATAGCACAATGATATAAATAATGTTTATCCACCCAAAGGTCAGTGCTTTAGGTGTCTCTGCAGTAGAAAGAAGGCATAGGTGCAATACCAGATTCTTCCCATTTGGGGATCGTCTTCACTTTACTTTTGACATTGGATGGCAGAGTCTGCGGAAGGGACTGGAAGGGCAGATCGGGGTGGGGGTGGGGTGGAACTTTAAGTAAGGGCAATGACTATGCAATCTGGGTCAAAATTCTTTTATTTTAAAAAAATTTAAAACAAAATTCTTTAACTCTCTGAGCCTCAATTCACTTCTTGGTCAAATAGAGATGATAATATTTCCTACTTTTGGGGGTTGCCACTTTAATCACTTGCTTTGCACTCGACAAAAGGTAACTATGCTTATTTGCCAGTGAGTTAGAGTGGGACCCTTGCTTCTCAAAGCTCTTCCCTCCAATCTCGGCAGAGCGGGAAATCCCAGTCCTGGTGAGCAGCTGGGTCTGTGATGTATCTTCTGTGCCTCAGTTTCTTCATCTATAAAATAGGAATATAATGGTGCCAACTTCATGGGGCTCACATAAGGATAAAAAGAGGTAATCCTGTGGGTGCCCTTGGCACCATATCTGGCTGGCTATCGCCACTCTCTAAGTATTTATTGAAAAATAGAGAAAACTAATTTGGTTTCATCTGGATGAGGCAGTCCTTTTCTTATCTAGAAAGAAAGAAGGCAAGTAGGAATACAGGATTGAGTTTTGTGTGCTTACTTTTAAAAACATTTTTTTTTCTGGCCGAATATCACGTTCAGTAATGTTGAACAAATAGCCCAGACACGTGTCCCTTCATCCCCCATGGCCTGATGGTGAAACTCCCAGCCCCTTTTCCTGGGATTGGGACAAGTAATCAAGGACACAATGGGCTTGTGTGTTAAGGAAGCACTCTGCAGCTTGCATCTACCACTTGCCCGTGCGAGGACTCTGGCAGGAGCCCACCCCAGGAAGCTCTCTGTGTGACTCAGAGCGGAGTGGCTGTCCTCTTGGCTCTGAGCCTTAAGGTGGAGTGAGAGTTCAAGAGCAGGGTCAGGAAGTGGCGGATGGAGCCAGCACGAGGTATTCCTGTGCGCTGGGGAGGCTTATCCTCTTGCTGTCCATTGTTCGGGGGATCAAAACGGGCTCCGCCTTTCTTAGAGTCATGGTCAGTGTTTGTCAAACCGGAGTGTTTCAGTGAGCCGCGGACCACACACCTCACCAAACAAACGGCACTTTATTAAACCCATGTGTTTGTGAATAGACAAAGCTAGATTCATACAACCACCCACATATTCTGTCAAATGAAACTGCTCCCAAGACCAAGCAGACAGCGTTCCATAATAATATGCCTTTGTATGGTGGCGTGTGCTTTTTCAAAGAACTTATACATGCTTTGTTTTATGGGAGCCCCTCTCGTGAGAGAAGTCAGCGACGCAGACATCCCTCCCATTTCCCAAATGAGAGCGCGGGGGCCAGCCGATCCTTCTCTGTAGATTATTTCGTCTCTGAAAGTCTCCGTTGGTGATAGTTGCTGGACACACATTTTTAAAATACTACGATTATGCTAACCCCAGATGTTTTCTGGTTTCCTTTTCCATGTGCACGTGGGGAAGGGCGGGCGAAGGTTTTTTTAAATCGCAGCGTTCTGTTCTGTTTCACACAGACTTGCCTTCCTCCCAGATCCTGGCAGGAGGGAGAGAGCATGTGACCAAGTTTGGGGTGAAGGTTGACTTTTCTTACAAGGTCGAGGTGAGGGGGAAGGGGACTGTGGTCAGTCAGAAGCTCTGAGGTGCCGAAAGGCATGATGCAACCCAGAAACATTGAGCAAGGAGCTCTCTCTGTTCTAAAGGCCAGAGGTGTCTCTGTCCCCTTTCAAATTGCTGGTTGTCTTCTGAGTGGTCCGCGAGCATTAGTGCAAAGGCAGTGAGTGACAGTAGACTCCAGTTAGCAGGGGATCCCAGGGAGTAGGTAACATTTAATTGATGCCTACTGTGTGCAAAGCACGGCTTTGTCAAGGTTGTTGATGGGCAGAGAGGTCAAGAGAGAGGGCTCTCAGGCCAGAGAGATGTGAGTTTTGAAAGCCAGATCCACTTGATTCAACCTTCCTGGGCTAGGTTCTCTCCCTAAATCAGCTGCCCGCAGTGTTGCTGTTGGGCGTTAATGAGATAATTCATGCAGAGAGATCTCTCTGGCATTTAACAAGACTTCAGAAAATGGAGGCTACACATGTCTGCGAGGTGGGTGCTCCCCATATCATAGGAACCAGAGCCCCCAGGGGGCCAGTGACTCCTACAAAGTCTCAGCCAGCAGCTAGAGAACAGGTTTGAGCCCAGGTCTTCAGGCTCGTTATTGCCACTGCATAGAGTTCCTGCTTCCCCCTCAGATCTGGAAACCAAGGTAATTCGGCCTTGAGGCGATGCTCTTCCCTCTCCTGTCCCTCACCTACACCTCACCCCCATCCTACTCCAGCTCCCACCAGCTTTCTCCCACTTCCACACCCAGAGGGGTTGGCCTGGGGACCTCCAGGGGGCCAACATGTTTTTTCTCCAAGAGCCAGTCCCTCTTTTGGAGAAAATGAAGCAGTTTGAGAAAAGTAACAAAGGCGGCATTTGTGTATTTTGCTTTATGGAGCTGAAAATATCTGGTAAATTGATCCAGTGGGAGTAATAAATACACATTACTTTATCTTGTTCTTCATGTGCTATACCCCTGAGCCCTGATAGAACAACACCACTTAATAGACTTAAAAAAGAGTAATTACACTCACTGGTTGTGTGATTTTTCAGCCCTTCCAGCCCTGCCTGACCTTCTAATTTAGCTCACCGTGTCTAACTAACGCATTTATATTCATCTTTTATGAAGCATGTATGTTCAGGATTGACTTCAGAGCCTTTTTCAAGCTGTCCGCCCAGGTCTCCAATCTGGTTAGCAGTGAGGAGGAGGAGCTATCTGTCTCTATACATGCGCTTGTATAGGTAACGTGTGTACCCGGCTACTCACAGCATTTTTTATCCTTTATGAAACATAATAAAAAGTATTTATTACATTTTTACTTTAAAGCTTTTATACATTCTAGCATTATTTACAGCTAAACATGCAGGCAAAAGATGTGAGTGTTTTAAAAATGATTACTGTTAATGTTTCCGCTTGTCAGAAGTGCTTAAATTCTCTTGCACTTTGTCTCAAAACTTAGTACTGTTGCCTTTTAAGAACAACACGTTTCAAAGATCTTGCAAGTCAGATTTGCAAACACTGCTGACAGTTCGTGATGAATGATATTGCAAAATCTGCAAGATGTTTGTCATTTCGCACAGCCGAAATATTAAGGAACAGATTAAGAAATGCGAAACGCCCCATGGAAATCAACCATCCCAAAC